AATTCTGGGATTCATATATAGGTTGTTTTTTTGTTTGTTTGTTTTTGTTTTTGTTTTTGCAGTGGAAAATAGTAATTTTTATCATTTATTGAGTATCTAGAATTTGTCAGGAACCATACTGGGTGTTTTACAATCATGATCTCCAATTTAAAAAACCATAGGTAGAAGGTTAAAACTCTTTTTTTCAAGCAAAGCTTAGAAAAGCTGAATCACTCATCTAAGGCTGTATGTGGTTGGTAAACGGCAGAACTGGGGCGGTTGACTTTAGGTGCTCTCCCACAACACATAGCTTCTACATTATAGAAAAATAGAACTGCCCTATTATTTTAGTTAAATTTCACTTGTAAAATTCCAAACACGACCTATAGGTCTGACATGACAATATCACTCACGATAATAATAAATTCATCAGATTTTCATCACAAATCTAGAAAGTAGTGTTATCATAGATAACAGTAACAAGCTAGTCTTTTAAGTTCTGAAGATTAACAAGAAATCCTCTGATTCAAATAAAAAAACAACAACACATATTCCCTGTAGTCACAAACACAAAAATCTAAAACCCCATTTTAAAGCCATTTCTCTATAGCAAGAATCCAGCCTGCATTTGTAATAGAATATTAAACCAAGAAGTCACTAAAGAGTTACACTGTTGGCAAAACACAAATGATGGTGGCACCAACCCTGACACAGGACACAAACCAAGGCCCTTCCACACAGCCACAATTCCTTCAGATGACTTCATTTTAAGTCAGTGTCTCTTCATGCCTTATGTATTCCCCAATGTCTGCTTAATGAAATACCACAATCGCCATGGGATCTACTTCCTGCAGTCTTGTGTAGACTTTGCTGCCACCCCAAAGCCCAATAGGATGTCGGCCATGGAGTACACCACCACTCCCTGGTACTGACTGATATTTTCAGTAATTCAACCAAGCCCAGATTTCAATACATGGTTCCCATATAGGAAGGACTGCTCTGCTCCAGGTTTTATCCACACGTTATACTTGGCATAGGGCGCCAGGTAATCTAGAGCTGTCACATGCAACCGGAACTTGTGGGTCTTGTGAATTTCCTAAAATAGGTCTCCAGGGACACCAGCTTGTCCCCAGAAATGTTGGTGGCCAGCTTCTCACATAGTACACCCGGTCGCTGTGCAGCCTGAAGCAATAGGTGCCGTCGGGTCTGTCAACGAGCAGCTGAAGATTCTCTCTGATGTATTTCGCGAGCTTCTCAAACATCACCTGAGTCTCCTCTTCAGTCAAAGGCCACATTGTCCTGCTTGGACGGAACACCGGATCCCATATTTAGGTTTTAATTCATGCTGAGTTGATTTTTATATAAGGTGAGAGGTGAAGGTCTTATTTCATTCTTTTGCATATCGCTTTTCAGTTCTGTCAGCACCATCTGTTGAAGAGACTGTCTCCTCCCCATGCAATATATTTAGGCACTTTGTCAAAAATCAGTTGGCTGTATGTGGATGGGTTAATATCTAGATTCTCGATTCTGTTCCATTGATCAATGTATCCTTCATTGTACCAGTACCAGGCTGTTTTGACCACTGTAGCCGTGTAGTACATTTTTAAATCAGGGAGTGAGAGGTTTCCAACCTTATTCTTCTTAAGCAATGGTTTGCTTTATCCTGGGTCTCTTTCCTTTCTGTATAAAGTTTATAATTGTTTTTTCCATCTCTTTGAAGAATGTCATTGGAATCTGGATTGGGATTGCATCATGTGTGTAAATTGCTTTGGGCAGTATTGACATTTTCACAGTGTTAAGTATTCCTATCCAGGAGCATGGTACATTCTTCCACTTTTGTAAGTCTCTTTTAGTTTCTTGTAGTAGTGTTTTTGTAGTTTTCTTTGTATAGGTTGTTTGCTGTCTTCTTTTGATGCTTTCTATATCATTCAATATTTTGCCCATAAAATCCTTCAGTATTGCAAGTCGAGGCTTGGATTTTTTCTTAAATTCTTTCATCTTAAGACATACTGAGAGTATTTTGGTTTTCTAACTCCAGGTCTTTGTGCATTCTATTATAATACTTGACTTTATCTTCTCAAACTGACCTTCGAAATCTTCTATTCAGCTCTTTTACTATCTTATTTCTTCTAGTAACTCTAACATCTCTATGCTTGAGCACAAGTTTCAGAGTCTCTTTTGGTATCCATTTCTTTTTTTCCTGTGATTTTAATGGCATTTAGCTTTCTTCCTGCATGATGTTCTTGATGTCATCCCACAGCTCTTCTGGTCTTCAGTCATTAGTTTCTAATGTATCACATCTGTTCTTAAGATGGTCTCTGAATTTATGTAGGATTATTCAGGGTCATATTTTCACTCTGATTTACTTGTTTCAGTTAGTTACCTTCAGTTTTAGCCTGAACTTGCGTGTGAGCAATTTATGATCTGTTCCACAGATTGTGGCTGATGATATTGAGCTTCTCCAATGTCTCTTCCCACAGATGTAGTCAGTTTGATTCCTGGTATATTCCATCTGGTGAGGTCCATTTATGTTGTTTTAAAAAATTTATTTGCGATCAGTAAGTCATTGGTGGTCTTGGAAAATTCTGTCATATCTCCAGAATCATGTCTATCACCAAGGCCATATTTTCCAGCTAGTGACCCTTCCTCTTTGTTTCCAACCCTCGCATTCCAAGCTCCAATAATTATCAATACACCTGATTGGATGTTTTTTTCAATTTCAGACTGAGGAAGTTGGATGAATTCTTCAATTTCATTACCACTGACTTTAGTGGTTGGTGTGTACATTTGAATAATACTGGGATTAACTGCTTTTCCTTCTAGGCGTGTGGATATTATCCTGTCAGAGACAACATTGTATTTCAAGATAGTCTTGAGATGTTCTTTTTGATGATGGATTCTATGCCATTCCTCTTGAATTTGTAATTCCTGGCATAGTAAACCATATGATTGTCAGACTCAAAATAGCTAATGCATGTCCATTTAACCTCACTAATACCTAAGATATCAATCTTTATACATTCCATTTCCTTTTTGACAATTCCAGTTTGCCTAGATTCATGCTTCGTACATTTAATGTTTCAATTATTGATGTATATTTTTAGCTGTTTCTCCTCATTCTGATTTGTACCCCATCAGCAAATGAAGGTTCTGAAAGCTTCACTCCATTCACTTCATCATGGTCAACTTTAATTTGAGGAGCCAGCTCTTACCCAGTCGTATTTTGAGTGCCTTCCAACCTGAGGGGCTCATCTTCTGGCACTATATCTGATAATATTGTGACATTCATGTTTTCATTTTCCAACACTATATCTGATAATATTGTGACATTCATGTTTTCATTTTCTAACACTATATCTGATAATATTGTGACATTCATGTTTTCATTTTCCAACACTATATCTGATAATATTGTGACATTCATGTTTTCATTTTCCAACACTATATCTGACAGTGTTCTGCTGCTATTCATAAAGTTTTATGTTTTTATATAGTAAATATAAAAATCTCTACCTATCTCTCTTTTATAATAAGTATTTGTTGTTATTGTTAAGTGCTGTCGACCCATAGTGCCCCTGTATAGGGTTTCTAAGGAGCAGCTGGTGAGCTTGAACCTCCGACTTTGCCGTTCAAACAGCTTTGCAGTCTGGCGCATTAACCCACAGTGCCACACCAGGACTCCGTAATAAGTATAGTATATACCTAATGATAAAAAATATGAGATTCAGATTCAGATTCTTTGTGGAAGTTCAAAATCTGACTTCTAAACATACTTCTAAATGGTATCCTTTCATAAATTTCCCCCCCTTATTTTGCCATTATTTTCAAATGTGTAATTGCATTGCTAAGTGGACTACTTATTATGGGGAGAAAAAATCATTTGAAGACAAGCAGTGGAAAGAATTCTTGATAATTCTTTTTTGGCTAATTTTTATTTTTTCCAGGCAAAATGTTTGAACAAAGCATGTCTGAAGACATAACCTTCCGTAGCTCCTTATTGAGTATATATTCCAAATGTAAATGAGCTCTAAATTTGCTAGGTGCGGTAAAGCACTTACAAAAAATTGCAGTGATAACTATAGCTTTCTGGGGTATTTATTCTACAATTAGGTATATCCTTTATATGACTTTAAAATATATAGTAAAATGTTTATATCAGTATCTGGAGTCTTGGTGTGGCTGCTAACTGCAAGGTCAGCAGTTCAAACCCACCAGCTGCTCCTCAGAAACCTCATAGAAGGTTTCTGTGAGTCAAAACCGATTGATGGCACTTTGTTGTTGTTGTTGTTGTTAAATGCCATCGAGTAGGTTCTGATGGCACTTAGCAACAACAAAAAGAAGATAATAGAGACTGATTATTACCCAAAGTGTTCAGTGTTGTTAAAAATGGGGAACTGTACTAAAATTTGAGTACTAATAAATAATTATTTTTTACAGATCTACAGAAAATAAGGAAATTACCCCTTTAGAAAATGAAGTTGCAAACTCAAGAGACAAAGAATCATCTTTGAATTTATCTTACCAAAATCATGAGTGTTCTAGTGCCTGTCTGATAAAAATGCCGGTAACTGTCAAAGGAGAAAATCCTCTGCAACTGCCAATCAAATGCCACTTCCAAAGGCAACACGCAAAGACAAACTCTCATTCTTCAGCACTCCATGTGAGTTATAAGACCCCTTGTGGAAGGAGTCTACGAAACGTGGAGGAAGTTTTTCGTTACCTGATTGAGACAGAGTGTAACTTTTTATTTACAGATAACTTTTCTTTCAATACCTATGTTCAGTTGACTCGGAATTACCAAAATCAAGAAGAAATTGTTTCTGATGTGGATATTAGCTATGGAGTGGAATCTGTGCCCGTTTCTTTCTGTAATGAAATTGACAATAGAAAGCTTCCACATTTTAAGTACAGGAAGAATATATGGCCACGAGCCTATTATCTAAACAGCTTTTCCAATATGTTTACTGAATCGTGCGACTGTTCTGAGGGCTGCATAGACATGTGAGTAGAAAAACAAAGCATTTCAATGACTCTGTAGAATATAGTCAAAAAATCCCGCTCTGTGTCAATTTATCAATCTGTCTTCTAAAACCTATTCACCAGGAGCCTAAAATTAACAAAGTACTATTTTAATAAGAATAGGAAATAAAAATCTTTACCAAACAGTATGTCTTTGTTAGGTGCCATCGAGTTAATTTACAAATATTATAGTAATTTGAAAAATTACAATTTTGGAAACTCTGTATGGCTGTGAGTCAGAATTGACTTGATGGCAGTGAGTTTGTTTTTTAAAGGATAAGTAGCTTTAATTGCCATCATTATAACAGTAACAATTACTAGAAAATGCTGTTAACTGAGCATGTACAACTGTCAAGCACTGTAGTTAAGTTACATATATATTTTTTAATTAATCTTCACAAAAACCCATGAGGTAGATATTATCTCCATTTTCCAAATGAGGAAATTGAGACTCAGGAAAACAAATTGTAGAGCTAAGATTTGAACCCATACTGTTAACTGCTAGGTTATTTGATGTATTGAAAAATCATTTCATAGCTAATTTTCTAGAAAATCAGTAGTGTTTATAACTAGTTAAAAACACTAGTATGTTTTTGATCATGGCATTGGACTCAGAACTGACTTGATGGCATTTAACAGTGACAACAGAGCAAAATACTGGTTTCCAATCCACAGATTTAGTAGGATATAAAATAAGCTTAGAGTCCTGGTATTGCTGTGGGATAATGTGCTAGTTTGAACCTCAGGGTTTATGGTTCAAGCTCACTAGCCACTCCTTGGAAACCCTATACAAGGTTGCTATCAGTTGGAACTGACTTAATGACACTTAACAACAACAACAGAATAAACTTAGTGTGGCACTGTTGGTTAATGCACTGGACTGCAAGGTCAGTTTGAGCCAAAAGGTCGGTGGTTCATGCTCACCAGCTGCTCCACGGAAACCCTATACAGAGTTGCTATGAATTGGAACTGACTTCATGACACTCAACAACAACAAAATAAACTTAATAAGTGGTAACTTTTTCAATTTTTAATAAGACAGAAAATACTCAAGGTGCATAATACACTATAAGGGAAAAGTTTCATGATGTTTGAATTTATATCCATATACTTGTCTGTTGATGTTATTGTTGAGTGCCATCAAATTGGTTCCAACACACAGTGATCCAGTATAGGATTTCGGAGGAGCAACTGGTGAGCCTGGACCACCGACCCTGCGGTTCAAATCAACTTTGCAGTCCAGCGCATTAATCCATTGAGCCACACTAGTACTTACTTACATGTATGATGGTGTTGTTGAGTGTCATTGAGTTGGTTTTGACCCATAGCGACGTTATGTAGGGTTTCCAAGTAGCAGCTGCTGAGCTTGAACCGCCAACCTTGCGGTTCAAAGACTTTGCAGCCCAGTGCATTAACCCACAGGACCACATGTATATGTGTGCATACACAAGATTATTAGGAAATATATTTCTCACATGAGTCTTAGGTAAAAATATTTGAAAACTATTGCTGTAGAGATCAACACGCTGTGGAGAATAACACATGTGCATAGAATAAGAATTCCTTGTAGCATTTTGTTGATAACTGAAGCCTCTTAATTGTCTCTACCAAGTAATAGCTAAGTGCTATTGTTATTAGGTGTCATTGAGTAGGCTCTGATTCATAGCAACCCTGTCTATGCACAACAGAATGAAACACTGCCCCATCCGGTGCCTTCCATTCATAGCTGTTGTTATGCTTAAGCCCATTGCTAACAACACCACACCACACTGGAGAACAACTTTCAAAGTCACTTCTGATTTCCATTTTGGGCTTGTCTCTTCATACTGTCTTTTTGTTTGTTTGGTTTTTTTTTTTTTAAGTGACCTGTTGCCTTCCTTTTTTCTTTAAGTCTAAAGGAAATTCGGTTTTTATTGTTCTCAATCTCACATTTCTTAGGCATACTAAAAAATTCTTAATAGAATAGAGAACTAGTGTACAAAGTAACTTTCTGCTTATTTGTTATTTTGGCTCTTGCCATCTTGTGGCACCCAGGATCCTGGTTGGAAAGTTTTCCCAGTGCTGGTAGATTCCTCAGAGGGCTCTTCTGTTCCAAAGTATGGAGCCAAGGCTCCATACTTTGATTTGAGTTTGAACAAGTAGAGCCAAGAGCTCTTCTTTGCTTAAGAGTTTTGCTTTGTCATAAAAAATCTTTGCTTTTTATTTTCATTTTATCTCTATATTTTTCATTCTTTAAAATTTCCTCCATAGTAGGTGGAACCTTTATTGTTTTTGTAATCCAAGCTTCCCTGTTGGGCTGTTCCCTATTTCATAGTCTACTACTTTTTCCATTCTACTTATACAATTCTATTTTCTCAAATAGTTTGTCCTCTTGAGTTCTTGGACTTTGGAATATAGTAGTATTTGTTCCCAAACTGGTCCATGCCCATATGCTCCTTCACATCCTTTTGCAGTACTCACCACCAGGAACAAAACAGATGCTGCAACCCATCCTTGCCGTCCATCCAGCACCCTGCAAGAGCCACAGCCAGATCCTTTTTAAAAAAAAAAAAAAAGCAATAAATATTTATTAATTAATATCATCCCACAGCTTTTCTGGTGTTCAGTCATTAGTGTCTAATGCATCAAATCTGTTCTTGAGATGACCTCTAAATTCACTTGGAATATGCTCAAGGTCATATTTTGGCTCTCCTAGTATATATAGTACAGTAAGGAGCTCTGGTAGCTTAGTGGTTACGAATCAGGCTGCAAACCACAAGGTCAGCAGTTCGAAACTACCAGCTGCTCTGTGGGAGAAAGATGAGGCATTCTGCTCCCGTAAAGATTTACAGCCTTGGAAACCCTGTACAGGGATGCAATGAGTCGGAACTGACTCCGCAGCACACAGCCACCAACCTCCAGTGTAGTACAGTAGTGAGGTTGGCCCAGGATTGGACAGTGTTTCAGTCTGCTGTGCATAGGGTCACTATGAGTTGGTGCCGACTCAATGGCACCTAACAACAACAAATATAGTGTTTACGAACCTCAGGGTCAGTAGTTCAAAACTTCCAGCTGTTCCTTGGGAGAAAGATAAGGCTTTCTGCTCCTGTAAAAATTTACAGCCTCAGAAACCGTGTACAGGGTCCCTATGAGTCGGAAACGACTCCATGGCACGTAACAACAATAGACTTGTTTTAATTTTCTTCAGCTTTAGCCTGAACTTGCTTATGAGCAATTGATGGTCTGTTCAGCTGTCTACCTCTGGCCTTATTTTCACTGATATTGAGCCTTTCTGCCGTCTCTTTCCACAGCTGTAGTCAGTTTGATTCCTGTGTATTCCATCTGGTGAGTTGTGTGTCTGTGAGGTCCATGTCACCTTTTATGTTGTTTTAAAAAGTATTTGCAGTGAATATGTTATTGGTCTTGTAAAATTCTGTCATGCGATCTCCATCATCATTTCTATATCCAAGGCCATATTTTCCAAGTATTGATCTTCCTCCTTTGTTTCTAACCTTCACATTCTAAGCAGCAGTAATTATCATTACATCTTGATTACATGTTTGATCAACTTCAGGCTGAAGAAGTTGGTAGAATTCTTCAATGTCATCATTCCTGGCTTTAGTAGTTAATGGGTAAATTTGAATAATATTGTAATTAGCTAGTCTTCCTTATACATGGATATTATTTTATCACAGCATTTTACTTCAACATAATCTTGAGATTTCAAGCAAGATGGCAGACAAGGCCAATGCGCTACATGGATACTCTGCAACAAAGATATAAGAGACCAAATAAACCAGACACAGATGAAAATTCTGGCACATGGAACTTCAGAAGAAAGAGTAGAGAGGTGGATGGAGTGCTTGCTGGCAGGAGAAGCCAAACAAGGACAGTGAGAGAGGGAGATTGGTGAACAGCTATCCATTTGCGGTTCCACCATCTAGTGAGCAGCTTTGGCAGTGGAGGGACTGGCAAAGCAAATTCCCTGTGATTTCTTCTTTTTCTCTATGCTTCCTTTGTGACCAGAAGTGTGGCCAACTCCCAACCTCATCCAACCCCAGCACAGACCCTGCTCTCTACGAGTTCAGAGCTGTGTGGTTAGGAGCCACACCAATGTGAGGTGGGGGTCTGCTACACCACTTTAGTGCCTGAATTCTGATGGACTTGGCTTCAGAATTACAAAATCCACAGAGTCACCAGGCCAGCATTTAACCTGTCACCCCCACCCCCAGCTTCCCTGTGGTCCCAACAGACACTGAAACTAGCTCCTCAAGGGCTCCCATACCTCTGGATTGAGTGCCCTGAACATCGATAACACCAAGGCCAATAGGAACTCCATCTAGGGTCAGAAACTCTGCTGTCACATCCCTTCTACAACCACTTCGTGAGCTTGTTGAATTGCAGGAGTCCACCAGAGATTTCTCTGCTCCAGGTCCCAACAACTGCCCTGTTTGTTTTTACAAATTCGACAATTCTATCGTGCCCCAGAGAGAACAATTTTAGCTTACATGAAGAAACAAGACAGAAAAGTTCAAACAAGTGACCAAGATGCAGACACAGAAAATGTTTCTGAAGAAGAAAAATAAATGGAACTAATGAGAAATAATTCAAAAGAATGTTAATTAGGTACTTTCAAAGGATTGATAGAAAGATCGAGGAAAGCAAAAGGAGAACACAAAAAATTTTAGAAGAATTCAGGAAAGCGCAACAACAATTAACAGATAAATGCAAATTTTGAAACAATAAAAAACCTGCAATTCGAAATCCAGAAGATTGATATTAAGCTTTCAGAAATGGATAATACATTGAAATGAAAAAGGAGTAGATGTGAAGCAGTGAAAGCCCAAATTAAAGTTAGTGAGCTGGTAGAGAAATCTCTCAATGCTAGTATACTAGAAGAACAATCAGAAAAAAGAATGACAAAATCCAAAGAAAGCCTAAGAGTTATGTGAGACACCATGAAGAGGAACAACTTACAGGTGATCAGAATTTCAGAACAGGAA